AAGATATCCACAAAAACTGATGGTGGGGGCAAAACGAGAAGAAAGTTGCAAGTCCAAGGCCTGCAGGCAGATAAGTGGCTGCTGCCAGGTGGGGGAGGGAGTGAGAGGGTGTGTGGGGGTATGGGGGAATGTCAGGGAGGGTGCACAAGGTTGCAGGGGGGTGCATGAGAGGCACCATATGGGTTGGGGAGGTTGTGCAAGGCTGTGCAATAGGTGCTGCATGGGGGTGAGGGTCAGAGAGGGTATGCAGGGTATGCAAGTGGCTGGTGTGAGCACAGAGGGGCTGGGGAGGGTGCACAGTTGTGGGACACTTACCCCAATGACTTACAAACTTCCCTGCCGGCTTCCCTATTGACTTTCTGGAGAAGCCAGTAGGGAAGGTTGCAAATAGCAGTCACTTGATCATGGGATGCTTGGCAACCGGTTGTAAGTGCAAACGGGTTGCCAAGCACCCAGATCACGATCACATGATCGTGTGGGTGCTGGGATGGCTGTAACTCTGAGGAGCAATCATAACCACCATTGTTCAGCACCTTTGTAACTTCGAATGGTCGCTGAGCGAATGGTCATAAGTTGAGGACCACCTGTACATACGAAATGCCTTTATACATTCTAGACAATTTCTTTGGCATTACATACCAATGATACATCATTTTAAAAAAAAATTTCTTTGAGTTCATAACACAATGTAAATGTCAACCCTTTTAACAACATATTTTCCCTGAAGATGAAGTCCTTCAGAATATATTGAAAAACCATAAAAAAATGTTTGAGGGTCTGCTTACCTGTAGGTGGCATTTTATATTGTAGTTTTATTATGAAGTTTGAAAGTGTATTATTTACTCTTATTGCTATTTTAATATTTGTAATCAACCATGAGGATTGACACAGTAGATAAATTACACAAATAATTTTTTAGAACAGTTTTTGTTGAAAATTAGTTCATTTGGACAGTATTGCACATTTTTGACAAATTTTCAGGAATCCTAAAGACAAAGATTTGCCTTGCCTTGCCTTTTGTTACTGTCCTCTTATACCTTTTCTTATGCCCTGATTCAGGATCTTTGAATCAGGATCACTTAAATCATGGAATTTGAAGCATCGCTGCCTCTTTACTGCTCTCTTTCACTACCAGCACAAGCAGAATTGTTTCTGGTTTTAAAATGGAGTCTAGTTAGGAAAAATCTCTGAAGATTATTAATCAGTATTCTTGGTGGAGTTTCTTTTTGCAGATCATCCCAGACTAGAGGTGTTTTTTAAACATATAAAAGCAGCATTTCAAGTTCTAAATTTGGCTTGACTACAGAAGTTGTCGTTCTAGCATGAACATCCCATGTCACTTGGATGTCAGCATCCATGTTGGTACCATAAGGCAAGGAAAATTCTTTGCCCATTTTCTAATCAGTACTGATTCCAGCAAGTATACCTTACTTCTGTTTAGATGACATAGTGTCACTAATATGTCCTGGAAGAGCTTAAACCTGTTACTGAATACTGAGGAAGTTGTATTCTCTCTCCACGAGGCTGAATTTACATCCACATTGAAGTCTTCCAAGATAATTAAACTTCTCCTGGCTAAGCAAGAGAGAAGGTTGCTTAATATGGGCATATAGGTCATGAATGAATAATAGCTGTTTGAAATTAAAGCTTCAGTTTTACTTTCTTACATTTCTTTGTAGTTTTTGAGCCTGTCATGAAATCTTCCTTTGAGTGGGCAATTTGCCTATCCATAGCAACACAATATTGTATTTTAATAAGTATGAAATAATGTTCCATCCCTTCATTTAAAATGTGCATATTTTTTGAGATGTTAGTTCAGTATCATCACTCAAACTAGTATAATTTATCACCTTTCATTAGAATGACTTTAGTTTATACCTAAGAAAAAACAAGTAAATCAATGGCTTGTACTCAACTTGCATATAAATAAAATTCCATTTAAAACCCTGTATAATTTATAATCTTAATCCTTAAAGAAATCTTAATTCTTAAAAACATAATTCATTATAGATGCATAGCAACCTATCTGTTAGTAACATTAGCACAGTTGATGATGAAAGTAAATGGCAAATTCTTCGTACATCTTTTTTTCCAGGAATTACTATTAAAGCTATAACTATAATTCTCTGTATTAAACACTTGTGTACAAATAGCTTAACATATTTCCTTTGGACAGCTGTGCCCATAAACAAAGGAAAATTAAGCTCTTCTGGAATGCTTTTAGAGATATTTGAGTTGAGAAGAGTTTCTCTACTGCAGTTTTTACCAAGCCTTTCTGCCTTTGATTTCAGATTTCTATTTATTTTTTAGCTTTGCTTGTCAGCAGCATAATTCTCCAATTATTTAAATCTGTGAGAGCTGCAATAAAGTGATAGGAAGTTGATCCTCCAAGGCTCTGATGATCAAAATACATTAATTACTATGATCCTAAGCCACAACCTTGAGGAACATGGTCTTAGTTCAGTGATGACAGCATCGATTAAATTTTTTAAAATATAGGAAGGGACATTTTCCCATAATTGTTTATAGTTGAATCCAGGTGCATTTTAAAAGCAGTTCTAGGTTTTGCTATGACATGCTTTTAGTGTGATTGTGCTTCAGTTCCAAACATTTCTTGATTGATTGATTGATTATGTATTAGATTTCTACTCCCCCATAGTAAAAAGAACTCTTGACAGGACAAATTATGCCTAATACAAATAATGTAGATCTGCTTTTGGGATGGAAGCCATTATGGTTGCCCTGATAAAAGGCAACAAGGAAAAAGGTTTGGAAGATGATTCCACTTTTCAGAAAAGCAATAGTGATGGTGGCTTCTCCCTCTTCCATTCCTCATTGTAGACAGACCTCTCCACTTGAGGGCAACAAGGAGAGGTGTAACTAACATACTTTCATCCTCCTCCTAGAACTGAAGTAGACTTTTGCAAGATTTCACAACAGTTGAACAAGACTAGAAGCATCACTGAATTCAATAATGCAGTGAGATTTATTGCAGGGCAATCAGATATAATATTTTGAGTTTTCATCAGTCTTTCTTGTTTTCCTGCTTCTCCATCCTGTCTTAATCTTTCCTAATATATCTACCTCTTCCCTTTCTCCTTTTCTTCATCTTGTTGCTGTTTTTGATGAAGGAGAAAAGGGCATGACTGTGAGTATGAGTGTGAAAAAGAATGCTTTGTGCATATACATGAAGGTGGAGGACCATTTTTATGGTTGGGATGCTTTATTTTACATGTAATTAATTTTAATCAACAGTTTATTCTATTAATTATTTAATTTTTGTCTTAAGTCTGTTTTGGCGGGGGGGGGGGGGAATAGGGCCGGAGGCAGTTTTAATACAACAAAATAGGTACCCATTTTTTTTGGGAAGAGAGAGATCTTCAACATTTGATTCAGCTGGAATTGGCAAATCTAGATTAGCAAGTTTGCACAAGAATTTTGTACATGTTTTTATTCT